GATGAATATCCTACACCAAAAAATCCTTATTTTTCTTTTCCAGTACTTGAGGTTTTTGGATGGTCTATACATGTGTACTGTGTACATAAAACATCAGAAGAGAAGGTGGGTGGCCACTTTAGTGAAATGTACAGGGAAATATAAAGCCCGGAAATAAGGAAGGATTGTGTGTTCCACAGAGGGAGATATTTTAGAATAACTAGCTGAACAATGATCTGGAGGCTTATGTTTTATCTCAGATTATTTGTAAACAACATCCTGTGTCCAAGCTTGGTATGAAGCTAGTGAAAGCATCGAATGGAAGCCAGACCAGGAGGATGTGAGATGAGTTTATAGGAAACAGACCCTGTTCTCTCAGACTTCCTTAAACAAAGTTTGCTGACTGGGGTCACAGACCAACAAAGATAAAATAATGATAACAAAATAAATGTTTCTGCTTGATCTCTGCTGCTTACGTATGCCTGCTATGTAAAAAATTCAATGAAATGGTCTTTCATCTCTATCTGCATTTATAAGCTAACGTTTGGCCTTGTTTTTTTGCAGAAGAAGTTTGCCTCCTAACTAAAGCTCTGCCCAAAACCACATTCCTCCTTCAGGATTCGGTATCAAAAAACCTCCCGTTGCTTATGCTTAGTGAATACTGTCGTGTTTTTTGTGACATTCTCCATTCCAAAATCTCCTAATTCAATGTAACGTGGCTGTGAGTGGAAAAGCCGGGAGGCCGTGAGGAGGCAGCAGGCCAAGGGCCGGGCTTTAGCATCTCCCAGCAGGAAGGGTTTCTTGCCACTTTTAAAAGGGTAGGTCTGGCTGATCACAGATTTAAAGATTTAGGATAGATTTCCTTCCTTCCCATGTCCAGTTTTACTCCAGCAGATCCAGTAGCCTTGAGGTCTCCCTACGGCAGCTCGTGCAGCCTATGCTGGGAGCCGTGCCTGGTTTCCTGGAGTTCTCTTACAGGTGCTCATGCAGCCACGTTGCTCTGAGGAGGGAAGGGAAGGGAGGGAAAAGATATTTCCGAAAATGTGTAGCTCAGCCAAACCTGTATGGAATTTTGTAAGATAAAGCAAGGATACTTCTGAATTTCAAAGGCTGCTAGACACAAGTTAAAAGTTTGAGCTGCTTGGAAAAAAAAATCACAGGAATCCTCTATATAAGAAATGTTAGACAGCTCAATTATAGCCTAAATTGTAGAAGAGATGAACTCATGTTGAACAGATTTTCACTCTGTGCTTTATCTGTTGCAGAATAACTACCTGTTCTGTGAGAATTTTTAAAAACTTATAAAAGTAAAAAAGCATAAAAGCCCAAAACCTATCTAAAATAACACCTTGCTTTGTGAAAACCACAGAACATCAAAACGATGCTTGTTGGGGATTCTGCTGGAATGTGAAAATGCTCTTTTCCATTTTCTTTGGTCCAGAGTTGCCTATTGAGTCATTACAATGAATCTTCCTCAAATGACATGCAAGATGAAGACATTTTTTCCTGGAAAAGTCTTTTATCATTTTTATTTTGTTTTGAACTTTATTCTTCAGAAAGTTAGTAGTATCAAATTTAGTGCTCCTGAAGAGTAAAGCAAATATGTATCTGAATTATGGCAAAAGCTGAATGGGCTGCATTGCCCTGACAGATGCTTTGTCCAATAGAGTACTTCCACAAAGATAAATACTTCAAGTTTCATAAATACCTTTATCAGAAAACCTGTGGTTTTTTATTTAAAAAATAAATGCTTTGTAATTTTAGATTTTTATTAATTACATTTTTAGTGAAAGGCATTAAACGGCAAAAATAGTTCTGTTGTATTTTAAGTTCTTGCAAGATCCTTCAACAGAAGGAGACATTTAATACCAAAAAAAAAAAAAAAACTGTCAAAAAAAAGCCCAGCCCAGTCTTTTCCCAGTCTTTACAATCCCTATTGATGTTCCTTTTTATCTTTCAGATCTTTTTGAACACTAACAAACACAGACTCTTGTTAGAACCAGAAAATCTATATTCACTCTCCAGGTCCAGTGACTGCACTCAGTGACTGCAGATGAGTTCAAAATTAATTCTGGGTAAAGGAACTCTGTAAACCAGACTCCTAAAGAGTTCCTCCTCCTGCTTTAAAAATCTGGAAAAATCTTATACCAAAGTTTCATGTCGTGGGATGGAAATAAAGAAAAGGAGAGAAAGGGGATGGCTTCTTTCCTTGGTCAGGAGCACAAATGGACTCAAGAGAGGCTTTTCTCAGAGGATGAAAGATGCTGCATGTGAAGGGAAAAAAAGTACAAGGGGAAAGCAGCAAGCCTTTCTGCAAAGTGGCTAATAGGGAGAGGAAGAAGGCTATGAACCTCATGCAGAGGTAAAGGAAGGGTGTCCTTCACGTGGAAGCAGGAAATTTGCTCCTTGTTCTATAGCCATATAGAGTGGAACAGAATTTCTAAGCTGAAATATAGTAGCAAGTGCGGACTTGGTGCATCCAGGAAGCTGGAGAAGCGGGAGAAAAGTGAACTTCCACCAGAGCGGGGCTCCTCCATGAGCCAAGGGAATGAGAGGATTTCATTGATTGGGAGCTGGAGCTGTCTGGCTAGCAGACATCTGCAGAGTAAACTTTTCATACTCACTGCTAATGTAAGCTTATATTTTAGAGAACAATGAAAGTGCCCTTGTCATATATTTATTTGTCTTGCATTTCAAGCAAAGTATTTGATATTCTTCTGTTTAATTTTTTTTTCTGCAGTCCATGAAGCAGCCAAAGCTAGTGATAGCACAAGTAAAACAGAAGGGTTCCTAAAGTAAAATTTATTTGTTTTTCATCCCCCATGAAATATAACTCTCCACATCCAAAAATGAAAAACAGTAAGGGATCTGTTCTCCCCTCTCTGCACACATGTAACTCCGTTTAACAGCAGCAACATTAACACACACCCATTAACTCTTACCATGCCTGCAGATTGCAGATCATGAATCAGCCTAGGTTTTAGGTGAACAAATGCATAAATGTCATTTGGAATTTGCGTTTTTGGCCTTTTCATCTAGCATTTCTGGTCTTGATTTTTGCAGAAACTCCCCTGTATGACTATAGAAACTTTTTTTTTTTAAATAAGTGGAGTTGTACCAGTGAGATGTGTTCAAAGGTCAAAACAAAACGCGGTGCTTTTGAAGAGCTTTAGGGTCGCTTGGTGGAAGATGCAATAAAAGTTAGAAGTGTTATCATTGTTTATTTGCACCCTGTGATAGTTTTTGGAGCATGCAAGTTTAAAAATAGAATATAAATATGAAAGCAGAATAAGAATGTAAATGCACTAGAGATACAGCAATTGGACTCCACATTTTAAAATTCAAGCTTGCTCTCATATTCAGCTTCAGCTAGGAAAGCCTTAAAGTCGAACCAGCTTCTTACTACCCAATTTTGCCTCTGAAAGCAGGGTTTTTTGTTTTTTTGTGTTTTCTTTTTGGCCTGGCTCTGTGTGTCATTTTCCATCTTTCTCAGCCTCCCACACTCTAATGACTTGTGCATGGATTTCTCTTACCCTTAGAATATATTTTCTTTTTAAGCAGAGTCTCTCCACAGAGGTGGAAAATGTGAATGTGAAATGAAGCTTGCCATCCTCAAAGAAATTTAAAGATCTAGGAGGGTGACAACTCTATTCTAAAAGTCACTTTGTCAAGACATAATTTACAGAGGCTCAGTTGCACCAACATAATTCTGCATTTCTTTCATGATGAAGACTTTTACACCTTCAGACATGTGATTTGTCAGGGCAGCTTTGTGGCCTGGTGGGCAATCAGAATTTGTCTTAGTGGACTGAAATGAACAAACTTAGCACTTAATCTTCCTCATTGCTGAAATCAATGAGCGGATCCATGGTAAGTGATGACGGTTCTTATGTAAGGAGTGAAAAGTAGAAGTGCCTGCTTCTTGAATCTCCAGTGTTTTATGGGCCAGAAGTTTTATTTTGCGTCTTGACAAAGAATCTGTTGATGTTGTATGATAACGTGCAAGTCAATATCAGGTATTTTCTTTGTGCTCATTCATGTGAGAAATATGAAAAGATTACTATATCTTACATATTATCACTCAGAAGGTCTGGTACAAGAGTCAGTGAGAAATGTACTTGTGTACATACTTGATAGAATTCAGTAGGGATGGTGGGATACAACAGACACCAGAGAGTCCGGGAGAGCTCTGCAGTTATGGGGAACTGTACGGACTTCCAGGTGATCATTTACGAGACCCTTATCCTTAATAAGGGTTTCTCTCTTCCTTACATTAGTAGATCTGGGCTTTATCCTGAACATTTTCACCCAAAGCTTAGATTAGTTTGCCTATAGTCATACTTTTACCTCCTACAACAGCTGATTCCCCCAGAGTTTCATGTATTATTTGTCACTATAGCTTGTCCTGAACAAAGCGAAACATGAGAGCCACTGACTGTCAAGGCTGGGCCAAAGCTAGTCATAAAATAAGGGGTTTATAACAGAATAACTCTCCAAGTTCTGCTCTCCTTTTTTGGGAAATAGTCAAAATCATCTACAGTTTATATTCATGGAAATGGTTATCTTATGACAGACATAGTAAAGAAAGACTCATTGTCAAAATTTGGCTCTGGAGCTACATGACTGTCCGTGTGCCTTTTTAATAACATTTTTGTTTACTTGATACTGGAGCATAAACAGAAAAAGAAAACTTATAATGAATTATGAGTGCTGTCAAGTTTTGTATTAAAAGTATTAAAACTTTAAGCAGAACAGTCTTCTAAATTCCTGTCCTTCTGGTTCCACACTCTTATCTTGCCTTTACACTTTTGTTTAAACTGCTTCTTCCCCTTCTTTTTCAGCTGGAGTAGATTCAATAAGCCTGTGTTTTATTTATTTAATTATTTATATATTATTTCTTGTAGATGTTAAAATGATGAAGCGTCCCGTCCCTGCGGCGTGTCACTGAGCAGCCATGCCATCTCCTCTGGCCCTCTGTGCAGTGCGTGGGGCA